CTGCTCTCTTTCCTATTTATTACTTGGTCTCCCTGTGCTATCATCCATGCAGTAGAACTTTGAGAGTCATCCTTTTTCATCATTAAGTAACACATGCAATTGATCCTCGAACACTGCTGGTCCACCTTTCAGTTCATTTCAAACCAGTCCCACCCCACTCCCTCCCACTCTCAATGTTCATGCCCTAGTTGTACTGGGGCACAGCCCAGCTAGACAGCTGCAAGGCTCTGTCCTCTACCTCAGCTCACCTTTATCTATTCTCTTTTCTGCTGTCGGAATCACCTCTCTAAAACTTTCTGAATTTGGGGCACCTGGCTGGCTCAGCTGGTTCAGCGTCTGACTTTGGCTCAGGTCGTGATCTCACAGTTCGCGAGTTCAAGCCCTGCAAAGGGCTCTGTGCTGACAGCTCAGAGCCTGGAGCCTGCCTCAGATTCTGTGTCTACCTCTCTCTCACTTACACTCTCTCTCTCTTTCTCAAAAATAAACATTAAAAAATTTTTAAACTTTCTAACTCTGATCAACTCACTTGCCTACTCAAAACCTTTGAAAAGGTCCCACTGCTGTCAGATTTAAGGGCGAACAGCAGAGACATTTGGGGCCCTTTTGGATTTGGCCGCTACCCACCCCCACAACCTCATCTTCTATTTCTATCCCATCCTTTTCATGTATCCTAAGCAGCCTGCACTAGTGTCAGCTTTTCGTAAAGTATCATGGTTTCTTTTACTTTGACACTGTGGAATATGCTACAGGTTCCTGCCTTGCCAGGCCAAACAACTAGACAACTCGTATTTATCTTCCAGGATTTGGCCAAGAGACTAGCTTGTTTAGGAATGTATCTCTATGTGCTTTAAACAAGTGAATTGTACAGTATGTGAATTATATCCCAATAATGCTATTATTAAAAAGAAAAGAAGAATGAATTGGGCCAAGTGATGATCCCAAACTCATGTAGTGTTACACACATCTTCTTCAACTTTGCAAGACCCCATGTGCCTAACTCCTTAACATTTCTGCTAAACTATCTACTGGCTCGTGTGACTGTTTGAGGGCAGGGCCCTCACAAATTAATCTTCACGTTCTCCTGGAATAGTATAATGTCTGGCACAATGAATGATCAGACTATAATCCTTAAACGGAGCATTCTGTGGTAGAAACCAATTATAATATGTCCACCAAGTGTTAGAACTGAGTATCTGGTCACCTGGGTTGAAGTTAAGTACGTATAATTTGGCACTTAGAAAGTAAATCACCTTTGGGACTAAATCACCATTAGAATTGGCCTATACTAGACTTTAAAATTCAAAGTATGGGCATTTGAATGTAATTATACTTTAGACAATATAATCTTTTCCCAATGAAATATAGCCTTTGTCCTAAATTTGAATTCCAGGAATTAGGGTTCATATTTATCAATCTGCTTACAGGGATGAACCATGATCTGGCTGCTACAAGCTGTGTTTAATTAGCTTTAAAGCATTTTTCTAAGAGCTTCTGCCCTTCCAATTTAAGCTCCATTAATTTTTGGCTGCCACATTATAAAACAAAGTGAACATGTCCTTTTTAGCGGGGCTAAATCATTCATCATAAATACTTACAACCCACATCCACATGCAATGGAAGAATATTCATTTGTTTGCATTACCAAATATAAAAATTTTCATTTTCTCCTGTTTTCAAAGCTTTTCCACAAATCGTAAAGATCAATCTTCCCAGGATGTTACTTCTAACAACCAAGTTTTCATTAATGGCCAAAGGAAGGGAATAATTTGTAATTACATTCTTTATTGTAAAATTATACACATCACAAGAATTCTATCCAGATAACGTGGGCCAATTTTAGATGCTTAATCTATTAATTGCTTTCCTACGAGAATATGTCTTCTGGCCTGGGAATCCTGGCTTCTTCTCCAGAGGTTTGCAGGAAAGAGAAAGAGAGGGAGAGGAGGGGTAGGGACCGTTCTTGCCTTCCCTGATCTGGTGGGACAGAACTGGAGAGAGTCCAAAGAGTTACACTTGGTAACTCCCAGTCTTCTATGTCTCTGGTTTAGAAGAGATTACATTCCAGATACTTCCACCGTCCCACTACCATGATTCCCTGCCCCAGCACCTTGATTGCCTTGGAACTTTGTAATTAGCTCTTGTTTCTTTATCCCTTTACTGTCTACCTCCCCTGCGAGTCTGTACGGCTCCATGGGCAGTCCCGGTGTTTCTCTCACTAAAACCAATGCCGTATACATTCTGGGAACGCAGTGAAAACAGGAAGGGAGCAAAGAAAGAAAAGGTTTAAATCCGAAGGGCCATGTTGCCTGGGATGGAAAAGTGCAAAAGTTCTAGATGAAGGTAAATCTTGAACAAAGTGGGAGCAGGCAGGGCACAAGAAAACACAGATGGGCATCTGCTTCTGGCTGCTGTAAGGAACAGGCATCCTTGGGAGAGGAAAAGAGCCCCTGAGGGCCCCTAATTTCCTATTTATCCTATGTGGCTTAATTAACAGGATCCCAACAGTATTATTTTTAAAGTAAATATATGCCACTCACACTGCATAATTGCTCACATTTACACTTGGTCAGTCTACCCTTTCTAACATTGTTTCTGTGGGAAGAGTCACAATTCCAAATAACTGACTCAAAGACTTAAAACACACTCCAATTATAACCTGTTTTTCATTTCAGTTGTCTCTTATTTCCCTCTCCTCTTCCATTTGAACTTTCTCTCTCTCACCTGTCTGTCTTCCCTTGGCCTGCCCGTGTTCATGTACATGCATGCACATGTGCTCACACACGTGCATACATACACACACACACACTTTATATTGTTTGAAATAAGAACAAATAAACATACCCACTCTCATATCCAGTTACCAACTCCTAGAATTCTTCCTTAATAATAAAAATTATGAGTCAGACATCCGGTGCTCACATTCCATTCCAATTCATACCCTGAGGCCTTATTTTGCCCATGCCCAGTCTGTCAAAATAGTTAGCAAATTGACGTCTTGATTCTAGTCTCTTCTCTTTTCAATCCATCCTGAATCTATCAGGAGCTCATAGTTGCCTCTAAAGCACTATTTTATATCACATTACTCTTGTTTTCTCATGTCACTTCCATGGCAAGTGAAAAAAGTTTACTTCCCGAATTACTTCTCTCCCAAATTGGAGTTGAGGATCTCCATATTATGATTCTATCCAACTTCCCAACTTCACTTCCTACCGCCCAGTAAGGACCTATCAGTGCAGCCTCAGGACCTCATTAAGATCAATTCATCATGGGGCACTGGGTGGTTCAGTCGGTTAAGCATCCACTCTTGGTTTCCACTCAGGTCACTATCTCATGGTTCCTGAGATTGAGCCCTGCATCAGGCTCTGCGCTAACATTGTGGAGCCTGCTGGGGATTCTCTTTCTCTCTCTTCTTTTCTCTCAATAAACAGTAAAAAAAAAAAAAAAAAAAAAAAAAAAAAAAAAAAAAATCATTTCATCATTTCTTGGGCACACACTTAACCATCCCAGCCTGTGTGCCTTTACTAATATTCTTTCTCCCTCTTGTCTTCCTTTCTTTCCCAGTCACCCTTTCAAGATAAAATCTAGCCCCAAATCCTTGGTAAATATTTCTCATGATACAAGATTCCCTTTCCATACTGCTTCTGCACTTGAGATAACTCCATGCATTTGTGCAATGTTCTCACATTTTTTTTTCATGTTTCCTATGTAAACCTCCCAACAACACAGCAAAGTAGGTATGGTTAAGTATGCACACTTCACAGATAAGGAGAAAAGTTTTCAAAGAGGCAAACTGATTTAACCAAGCTTGCACAGCTGGAGTGTGGCAGAAACTATCTTTAAACCCTGGCCTTCAGATTCCATGTTAAATCCCTACTTGGCATTTACTAAAAATTGCTGCAGGTTGGCAAGGATTTGCATCATTTTTTTTTTTACTAGATTATAAGTTCCTTGAAGGCAGTAGCTGTGTAGAGAACTTGCGCTAATGCATTATAATACACAAGATGAGAAGTTAATCAATATCTGATTGCGGCATCCTAAGAGGAGTTCAGTCTGTCCATGTAAGAGGCTTTAATGATTGCTCTCTCCCTCTTCTGTCCAGGATTTAGACTCTGAGGGCTCACGTGAACATGCTGTGATAAACTGCAATATATCTTGGCGATTTTTTAATTTCTTAATCTAGCTATCCCCAAAACAAACTGCAAATTCCCTAACAATAAGTAACTTTGACGAATAAAATGAGACCTGCTGATCTTTAAATGTTGGCCAATGTCGGCCAGGAGTTATAGGAATAAAAGGCGCGGGAGACTGTAAGTGAAATTGAGTCCCCTGGCGCACTTGCTAACGACACATATATTGAGGATTCAGAATCCGTAGTTTCTCCATCATGTTTCTTACCCCAATTCTTTTTTTTTTTTTAATTTTGTTTTAATGTCTATTTATTTTTGAAACAGAGAGAGACAGAGCATGAATGGAGGAGGGGCAGAGAGAGAGCGAGACACAGAATCGGAAGCAGGCTCCAGGCTCTGAGCCATCAGCCCAGAGCCCGATGAGGGGCTCGAACTCACAAACGGTGAGATTGTGACCTGAGCTGAAGTCGGACGCCCAACCGACTGAGCCACCCAGGCGCCCCTCTTACCCTAATTCTTATTGAACACATGATCCCAGAAAGCAGACTACGAAACAGCGAACCAGTGACAAGGTGACACTGACTAAAGGGTCAGCAACAGACCCTGTTGTTCGTATTAGCCATTTGTTTGCACAGGCGCGAGTACTCGTGATCATAATTCATACTGCACGGGAACTGTCTGCTGGCAACATTCTTCCTGTTTTGCAAAAAGGACTAAATAGTTCACTCTTTTACGGTGTTCCATAAAGAGACATTACGACATCTCAGACTGAAAGTTACTGAACAAGAACAGGGCATCTGACAGGAGCACTTAGAGGATTTCACGATAGGAAACGAACCTCATCTTTTGGAACACAATTAAGAAGATACTCACAGGCTCTCCCCGTGATCCATCCTGACCTGGAGCACCCGGAGGTCCCACTTCTCCCTTTTAAAGATAAAAAAAGAAAATAGAGAATTCTATTTTCAGGCATGCTTATAAAACAAATATATATAAGTGAGTATTAAAGCACATTAGATACAAACATAAAAATTACTTCCAGATTATTAATAACGCTGCATGGTGACAGACAGCAACTGTACTTACAGTGAGTACAGCATAATATACAGAATTGTTGAATCATTATGTTGTATACCTGAAACTGTCTATAACACTGTGTGTCAGCTGTACTTCAATTAAAAAATAAGTTAAATAAATAAAATAGCAAACAAAACTTTGACTAAGAAAAATTCTAACAAGAATACAAGATTTTTTATGTATAATTATAGATCTCTATTAACAAATTAGGTAAAAAGCCTAAATAAAAGGAGATACATATCCTCCTTATGGATAGAAAATCTCTTTCATAGTTTTGAAGCTATAAAGTCTTCATAGCATAAGGATGTCAGATGTCTCCAAATTAATCAAAATTTAGTACAATTTCAATAGAAATTCCAAGGAGATTTTTGTTGTAATTTGGCGAAACAATGATAGGATTTCAATAGAAGAACAAATTACCAAAATATAGACAATCTAGAAAAAGACCAAGAGGGTGAAATGAATCCTTTCATATTTTTATCTTCCTTTTTACTTTAAAAATGATCATTCTGTTGTACTGGACCCAATGAATTGGAATATTCTTTTGGATCTATAAGAATTGATCATTCTAATTTGACCTTGCAAGCAACAGTTGCATTTTAAAAACAAATAAAGCTTTCATTAAATGGATTTATAGGCTATTACTTGAAATTATTTGGCACTTTCATTTAGTATCTACCTATTTTAAAAAAAAAACTAGTTTAATGTTTATTTATCTTTGAGAGACACAGAGCATGAGTGGCAGACGGGCAGAGACAGAGGGAGACACAGAATCTGAAGCAGGCTCCAGGCTCTGAGCTGTCAGCACAGAGCCAGACGCGGGGCTCGAACCCACAAACTATGAGATCATGACCTGGGCTGAAGTCAGACACTTAACCAACTGAGCCACCCAGGCGCCCCATAGTATCTACCTATTTAAAATAAACATTTTATATGTTTAAAATGCTTATTTTTAGGTAGCTATAAAAACTATCCTAGTTTTCAGTTTTATGCCTTTAAATTACTATGTTCAAATTATTTAAGCATCTTATTTTACATCCACCTTTTAGCATCCTCAAACTTTTTCCCAAAATGCCAGTGTATACAAAAGTATCTGACACTCTGCTTATAAATATTAGCTGAATCTGGGGCGCCTGGGTGGCGCAGTCGGTTAAGCGTACGACTTCAGCCAGGTCACGATCTCGCAGTCCGTGAGTTCGAGCCCCGCGTCAGGCTCTGGGCTGATGGCTCAGAGCCTGGAGCCTGTTTCCGATTCTGTGTCTCCCTCTCTCTCTGCCCCTCCCCCATTCATGCTCTGTCTCTCTCTGTCCCAAAAATAAAAAAAAAATAAAAACGTTGAAAAAAAAAATTAAAAATAAATATTAGCTGAATTTATTCATAACATATGTAACATTTACAGATCAATACAGCTATTAAACTGCCGAGACACAAATAAGGGGTAGTGGGGGAGAAGCCTCCTAAAATACACACACAGACACAGACAGACACACCCTCAAACATTTAGGCTTTCTGAAACCTAACAGTCATTAGGAGCCATATTTTGTTTTCTGTTCAGCCAAATGTTGCATCATAACAAGCAAAGTTCTCTGCAATTATGCCACACTTTCCTTCATACCAGAAAAAACATTTCATTCTACATGAGAGCAAGAAAGTAAAACAAAAGCATTTTTCTTGTAAATGCTTCAAATGCCTGAGTGGAAACAGATCTAAGGGTAAAGAGTCTCAGAATACACGTACCGATGCATATGCCAACATTGTTTTCCAGAGTTTCAGATTCTAATGAATTTCCCAAAACTGTAAAAAACGAACCACAAAACGAAGAACCTGGCTAACATAATCAGCACTTAGGAAAAAAACTCAACCGTCTCACTTTATGTAACCAGTGTTCTCCCACTTTTATGAATTCTTGCATTTCATAGGCCCAGTGAAATATCAGCGAAAGCCAAATATTTCATCTGTTCCAATTTTATTTACAAACACCAGCTGACAAGTGATGACAGAGGGAGCAAAGAATGATGTTTCCTGTAAATTAACCACATTGGGAGGGGGAGTGCTGCTGGCCTGATGGTTCTACAGAAAAGCTAATGAAAATATCAGAGAAACAAGGATATATGTAGGATCCACTAAGTTTAAAAGCTATAGGTTACCAACTCTGAAAAATTAAAGAAAAGGGATTTGTCAGGACTTAATAAAACAGAGAAATCCTACAATGACTACATCTAAACTCAACATTAAGATGAACAGGACGATTCATCCCCCCACATCAGCCAGCTCAGCCTCACTTCATGTGAGAACTTCAAAACACAACATTTCAG